CAGTTCAGGGCGCGCGCGCGCGTGACTCACGGGTGCTGCTTGCATCTGAGTTTGCAACCAGACTTTCACACCCACAAGGATATATAGGCTCTATTTAGTTCTAAAGTTTTTTTTCAAACTTCCAACTTTCCATCACATCAAACCTTTCATACACACACTTTTTTATTACATCGTACCAATTTCAACCAAACTTCCAGTGTGAACTAAACACAGCCATAATCGGCGATACTCAAAGGGTGTTCCCAATCCTTTTCGCTGTTTTCATAGAATGAGTGTTCAATGGTTCCATCTGCCAGGTTATCATAGGTTTCGATGTGCTCCCGGCCAGTTCTATCCCCACAGCCGAAGCCCGGGTAGACGGCGTCACCAACGATGGAGGGAATGTGGCTGGGGACACGGACAGCGAGCAGTCATGGCCGATGAACACGGCCCGACCACCGAGACCACGGACAGGCACCATCTTCCTCCCATCCAAATCCACTCGGTACGCCTGGTACAACCTCTTGTCACCACTTAGGGTACGGTGCACTAGCAACAGCTCGCCATTGTTGTCCACCAGGTGCGCGCTGCCGAGCATCCTGCTGAACCTGTGTTGCAATGTCAGGTCGCGGCGGCCTCCACCAGCTGCGGCGTCTGGTTCTCCCGGCTGACCTCCACCACCATGATGGCATCGCTGGTGAGTGGTGACGGCATAGAAGGGGCCCGCGAACGACATGATCGGCCGGAGATGATCGCTGAGGTCGACCGCCGTCCAGCACTTGTCGCCGGGCTTGGCGACGGCGAGGAAACTTGTGTTGTGGATCACCACCGTGCGGTCGTCGGCGAGGCCAAAGCGAAAGCTCGTGTACTACAGCGGTGGGTGGAGTGGGCCAAAATGTGATTTCTTGGTTGTTCTGGTGCTCCTGAACTCGATCGAGCTCGCGGTTGGGTGCGGACGTGCGGTCGAGCCGGCCCACGCTATACGTGTACTGCGAAGAGGCCGTTGCTTTAGTCGAGTCGGTCCGGGTTACGTTACGCCCGCTACTGGATTACAGGCCTGTTTGGCACAGCTACAGTTTCAGCTCCATCTTTTCTGGAGCTGAAGTTCAGCCAAACAGTTTCAGCTCCACCTTAAGCAGGAGCGGAGTTGGGTGAAGCTCTCTCACAAAATGAATTAGAGAGGTGAAGGTGGGTTTATGAAGCTCCACAACTCCACTCCAGACCCAACTGCTGAAGCTAAATTTAGGAGTTGGAGCTCTACCAAATAGACCCATCTCCGATTATGTCTCTGCTTCTAACTTCTTTCTAATAAGGTTATTTTGGGTAAATCCTTGGCATTGTTTGGTTTAGAGAGAATTGAAGAGGATTGATGGGAAATAATTCCAAACCACAATAGGTGTGGAATAAATTCTCTCCAATCCCTCCCTCACAGGGATTAACCGAACAAGGCCTAAAGTGGGAGGGATTGGAGGGAATTTATTTCACATGTGTTATAACATGGTATTATTCCCCTTTAAAACCTTGTTCGGTTTGGAAGGAATTGAAGTGGATTGAGAAGGAATAACTCCCAATCTCTCTCGAGGATTAACTGAACATGGTCTTAATTCTCTCCAATCTTCTGTAATCCCGTCCAAACCAAACAAAGCCTAAGGGAAAAACCGAGTAAAGTAATGTGGAAATACGAACTACCATGATCTCGTCCCTATCATTTGGATGGGATCCCATCATCCATATGACGTCGTGTTGTCCACTTCCCATGGTGCTTCTCACCTGTTCGCATGGCGCTTCGTATGGTCCGCGTTCCCTTTGAGCAGTTGCTTCTCCTCTAACATCGTTGCTAACTGTGTAGGGTTCACCGGTGATAGCAGGGCGTGCCTGCTAACAAGGGACAGGGGGGAGTGCCGGTGCCATCGTTGTTGATGGAGACCACCACCGATCATTGTTGTTGCCAAGTGCCAAGGAAGGAAGCCCTTCCAGGTTGCTCGTCCTCAACAGTTTTGAATCTTCTTCTTCCCCCTCTTAGCTCCGATATGAAACGTGATACACGGTGGCTGATACCAACAGGTATCGGCTTGTTCCATGACGAATACCGACAGACACATATAGAGTATCAGATCTGATACCGATAGGAGACGAGATCCCTTGGTATATTAGCCCCAAAGTAATAAGGACTCCTAGGAAATCCATATTAATATGAGAAAAGGCTAATAAAAATATATGCACCCGCTATATTATAGTAAGAGTATGAGAAAAAGCTAATAAAAATATACCTACCTATATAGGTGGGATCTAAGTTGTAATGATTTAAACTAAAAGAAGAGTTTATGTGAGATAAACCTTAGTAATAATATTTTTCTTATTTCAAACTGTTAAATTAATACTCCCTCTGTACCAAATAAGAGGGCACCCTTTTTTTTAAAAAAAAATCAAACTCAACATTTTTTACTAATAATTATATTACCAATATCTATGAATATCTATGATAATTATTATGCATATCATATTATTATACTTCATATTTATATTCTAAAATACTTTCATGTGATACTAAGTTGGTAATCACATAATACAACATAAAATAAATTAATGGTCAAAGTATTTCTTTATATAAAGGAATAAGTTTACTTTGGGTCCCTCAATTTGTCACCTAGTCCGATTTTCGTCCCTTGACCGTAAAACCGGGTACGACCCATCCCCCAACTTACGAAAACCGGGCAAACATGGTCCCTCGGCGGTTTTGGCTGACGTGGCGCATACGTGGCTTGTTTGACTAGGCCTCCGTCCCACGTGGCATTGAAGTAGCGCTTACGTGGCAATTTTCTCCCCGGAAAAATAATAAAAAGAATGGCCCCACATGTCAGCTGCACAAAATAATAATTTTAAAATGGTGGGGCCCACATGTCAGCCTCACTCTCACTTCTTCCCTCTCCCTTCTCTCTCTTCTACCCTTTCCCCTCTCTCTCTCTCCTTCCCGGGCAGAGGACGGCGCGGGTGGGCGGCGGAGCAAGCGAGCTCCGGCGGCGGCGGCGGGCGTGGTCGGCGCCGATCCCGACCGGAGCGCCGCCGGTCCGAGTGAAGGCGAGCAGAGCGGCGGCGCCCTGGAAGACGCCATCGACGCCGCCGACCACCCGGACGCCCTCCGCGCGCGCCGGGACGGCATCGCTGAGCGCCTCTACACCGCGCTCGTCGTCCTCCCACCGCCGCTCCACAAGCCACCTACGCCGCGCTCTCCCCTCCCGACGCCGTGCTCCGCCTCCTCGCCTCCCTCCCCTGCGAGGACCTCGCCGCCCGCTCCACGTCGCTCGACGATGACCTAGTCGCTGTGGACGCATCCACCTCCGAGTCCCTCGCGGCGCTCGAGGCCCGCGAGGCCGCCGTCCCCGCGCGCCTCGCCGAGGCCGAGGCGGCGCTCTCCGTGGCCGTCGCGGAGGCCGAGTCCGCGGAGCCCCCGCCCACCGACGTCCGTGGCGCGCTCCGGTGGATGTGCGGCCGCCGGCCGCATGGACGCTCCCGCGTTGTGGGGCTTCATTGCGGCCCGCCGTCCAGAGCTCGTCGCCGTCCGGAAGGAGGTTGGCCCCGCCGTCGCCGCGGAGGATGGTGTTGGTGAGGACCAGTTCTGGGTGCCGTCGCCGCGGCGGAGGTGGCGAGGGTGGTGGTGGAGGCGGAGTTGGTAGCGGCAGCGGTGGCGAGGGATGTGGCGGTGCCGGGGAGCGGCGGCGGAGTCGGTGGTGGTGGCGCTAGAGAGAGAAGAGAGAGGAAAGGGGATAGAAATGAAAACGACGACGCTGAGTCGCAGCCGCACGCGGACGAAAGCTCGACGCCATCCCCCCCCCCCCCCCCCCCCCCCGCGCCGACGACGCGTCCGACGACTCACCCTCCGCCTCTGCTCCTGCGGACGCCGTGGCGGAGGCGGCGACATCGTGTTCGGGGTAAGCATGGTGCGGCGACTGCCCTATTCCGCCCTGTCGGCTTCGCGCCGCCGCCGCCCCCCACTCCGCCCCGCCGCTCATCCACCCACGCGAAGCTTCTTCGTCATCGGCGGCGTCGATGGCGTCTTCCAGGGCGCCGCCGCTCTGCTCGCCTTCACTCGGACCGGCGGCGCTCCGGTCGGGGTCGGCGCCGACCACGCCCGCCGCCGCCGCCGGAGCTCGCTTGCTCCGCCGCCCACCCGCGCCGTCCTCTGCCCGGGAAGGAGAGAGAGGAAAGGGAAGAAGAGCGAGAAGGGAGAGGGAAGAACCGAAGAAGAGAGAGAAGGGAGAGGGAAGAAGTGAGAGTGAGGCTGACATGTGGGGCCCACATGGGCCCCACCATTTTAAAATTATTTTTTTGTGCAGCTGACATGTGGGGCCATTCTTTTTATTATTTTTCCGAGAGATAATTTTCACGTAAGCGCCACGTCAATGCCACGTGGGACGGAGGCCTAGTCAAACAAGCCACGTATGCGCCACGTCAGCCAAAACCGCCGAGGGACCATGTTTGCCCAGTTTTCATAAGTTGGGGGATGGGTCATACCTGGTTGACGAAAATCGGACTGGGCAACAAATGGAGGGACCCAAAGTGAACTTATTCCTTATATATAATATATAAGCCTTACAATTAGGGACAGAGTTAGTATGACACTAAAATTAAGATTCCAACGCAAATACAATTTGGTATTTCTTCAACTGGATTTCCGGATTGTTGGACAATGCAAAACTATTGATTTAGACTTCAAGCTTTAGGCTCTGCTCGTTTCAAGGTGTTGGGAACCCTTTCTCTTGTCACGCGAAACGAAGCAGTGGATTAGTGCATGATTAATTCAATATTAGCTAATAAAACTTGATAATGAATTACTAAGATATTTTAAAGCAACTTTCCTATAGATTTTTTTTTTTGAAAAAAAAACGCACTGTTTACCTGATCAGGAAGCGTGCGCACAAAAATAGAAAGTAAAGGTTAGGGAAAGTGGAGTAAAGAACAGTTCCTAAGATAATTTGCATTTATTAATTAGGAACTTCGAAATTATTCTGATTAAGAAAAACTGGAATTAAGAGTATAGCTTGTATGCATTAATCCATAGAGTAACATACCTATGTCAGGATATATTATATCCATATCACAGAAGCCATTACATAAACTTCAGAGATGTGTCCATATGTAGTATACAAGTTAAAACCAATGGTATACCCTCATGGTCACTAGGTTGACAGAACTCAACTATCTTATAGCCATATGTCTAACAGTGTTATTATCTTCTAGAGAACTTTGACAAGAGATAGACAACGAAGAAGCAAAACAGAGCAAAAAGGACCACGTGCACAACATGATTCGAGCCCTGTTGGATGATGCTCTTGTTCATCCTTCGCATGTTATGCTTCACTCCAGCCTGAGCTTTTATGAGGGTCATTTGCTGTCCACAAAAAGGATAACAAAAATCAGAGAATAACTAGGATTTATATTATTGTTGGAGAAAACATGAAGAAAATCCACTGTTGCGATTGCAGTAACATCATTCAACTATAGAATGATATTACAACAACTCATGAAAGAAAATAGATTCAAGACTATATACAACAATTGAACTCAGAACAAATGGAACTCCAAACATGGATATCTGTATACTTTCACATGAAGAAGCATGTAGAAATAGTATAGGTAAATATCTCTGAAGCATACATCCTGATAGTTAGGCATAAGGCATGGATAGGCTAGACAAATTCACAAAGGAAAAGGAAATGAAGGGTTAAATGCATGCCACTATCAAGGTAAAAAAAGACATAGCCATAAGGCCAACAAATATTTATTTACCAGAGGAAAACATGTCATGACCACAAGCTTAAAGGAAAAGGCAAGACATAGTACCAGTTGGCTGAGGAAATCATTCTGGAACTTGGCTTCAGCATTTATCTCCTGGGCCACCTGGAAAAAATCAATCAAGCCTCACAAACTGAGCGCCCAGAAATGTGAACAGAACCCAAGATCAACAGCTTATGAACAAAGGAAAAAAAAAATCATAACTTGAAGGATTTTCTTATAAAGTCATACTCGTTACTGGTTGAAATCTGGCATAACATGTACACATAATTTATGGGATTGTACAGCGGCCTAATACAAAAGGTGCAATTCCATATGAAGGTTCAATGAAATTACATAATGCTCATAACAACAAAGACAATATTAAGTACCATGTCACTATAGGAGCCTTAGTTTGGACGTACAAGAAGGATTTATTTTGCTAAAAGTAAATATCTAAAGAACCTTTATAAATTCTTAACTCTCCATGAGTTCGGGATTTACAACAATATTTCTTTTAGATGTTTAGTTGTAGAGAAAAAAAATACTTAGGGGATGACCAAACTACGGCTCTTACAATTGATAGGTCACTAGTGCCAAGCAAGCAAAAGAAAATAAAAGAGCAGATGGAACACTGCAATGTAATAATTATGTAAACTAATAAATAGATCAAGACAATGTCCTGATCACCTAATCGGAGTTTGACATCATATCAGTGTCGAAAATGCCATCACATCATTGAAACAACCTAGACAACAACCATTTTGTAACTTAACATATGGTATTGATATTAACAACATATATCAAAGAAGCAGGCAAGCAGCCCTTGCTCCTTAGTTTGAAGATTATATCAAGTATAAAACAAACTGACAAGATGAGACGCACAAGAAACAATATAGTTGATCGATCAAATTACGAATCAAACATTTGAGAAGCACAAAGTTTATCTTACAGCACTGCATATTAACACCTGAACATATTGGGAGCAGGTCTAAAGTTCAAATGCACACACAAACCAATAGACCTCTAACTTGCAAATAATGGCAAAAAGTCCACAATTGAGCATACCTAACAGAAATTAAAAAAAAACAGAAAGAAACAAGGATGGAGAGAAATGGAAATCTTACGCCTTTCAGTAGGCGAACCCTCGAGTGCAGCCCATCGATCTCCTCATCAAGATCGCCGTGCACCGGATCGATCCGCAGCTGGATCTCGTCCGAGCTCGACGCATTCCTGCAATCAATACCGAAAGAACCCCGACAACCCCCCAAAGTTATCAGGGACTCGATTCAGTTCTCCGGAGCAAAGACGAGGGATTCGGACGCCACCGGCGCAAGATTGGATCGAACGAAAATTCGCTGGCTGTGGGTGCGGGTTTTACCTGGATCGAAGCGGACCCGAGCCGTGCAGCGGGTTCGCCATCGCGCTTACCAGCGCAGATGGGGTTCAGCTCGTTCCCTCGCGACTTAGATGGAACGACGAGGCGGCGGCGCACGGGAAGGAGGGAGGGGGTGGCGCGCGCGCAACGGCGACGGACGACGGCGGGTGGAGGCCGGAGGGGAGGATGGAGGAGAGGAGAGGACGGGAAGGGGAGGGGAAGACACTAGAAGGAAGGCTTCAAAATGAATAATTATTTTTAGGAAAAAAAATTTCTGGTTCCTTCCTAATTAATGGAGTAATACAAAATTATCTTAAGGTGTGCTTTTATACTTCACTTGTCCAACTTTTACTTCCTCAGTTTTTATACACAAGCTTCCCAAACTATTAAACAGTGTATTTTTTTTACAAAAATTTTCTATATATAAGTTGCTTTAAAAAAATTTATATTAATTTATTTTTAAGTTTTTTTTGCTAATATTGAATTAATTATGCACTGATCCATTGCTTCGTTTTGCATGGTAAGAGAAAGGGTTCCTAATAACTTGAAACGAGCGCATCCTAAAGCTTGGAGTCTCGATCAAAAGTTTTGCATTGATCAACAATCCAGAAATCCGGTTGAAGATATACCAAATTGTGTTTGCATTGGAAATCCGGTTGAAGAAGTACCAAATTGTGTTTGCGTTGGAATCTTAATTGTAAAGCCTATGAATTTTATAGATGGTCTTATGGTTTAATTGTATAATTTGACCATTAGTTTATTTCATTTCGTATTATGTTATCATCAACTATAAATTAGTATAACATGAAAGTATTTTAAAATATATAAATCTAGTGTTATCATAGATATTGATAGTATAATTATTAGTCAAAAATTGCCAAGTTTGATTTTTTTTTAAAAAAAAGGGCGCCCTCTTATTTGGGGTAGAGGGAATATTAATTTAACAGTTTGAAATAAGGAAAATATTATTACTAAGGTTTATCTCACATAAACTCTTCTTTTAATTTAAATCATACCTAATGTTAACCATGTTATAGGAGACGAAAGCATAAGCACCAATAGAATCCGATGCAACAAAAAATCTGGTCCAAGACCACTGGTTTCGAACTTGAACCAACTAAACTGTACAAATGTCCATACTGGTAGGATGAATGAAAGTACGCATTTCTCATATATTATTGATCGTGAGCCAATACCACATTCGACCAAGTGAATATTTCATAGTAGAATCTGTGGAATATTAGTATTTTCTTTACATATTAGTATTTCCTAATAATCATGAAATGTAGTCTAGCAACAGTAAGAGTCCCAGGAGAATTTGTTTCAACTCGAGATTGATAGAGAAAACACCTCTTTTTCACCCATACGCTTCCCGAATTATTAAACGTGTGTATTTTTTGCAAAACTTTTCTACAGAAGAGTCGTTTTTAAAAAAATCATATCAATCCTTTTTTAAAACTAGGCATTCAAAAAAAAATCCTTTTTTAAAACTTTAAAATAATTAATACTTAAATTATTCATGCACTGATAGCTCACCTTGATGTATCTCCCCAATATTCTCTTTCTCTTTTTCCTCAAACACAACCAGTTCAAAGCCTCAAATTAATTTTACATTGTTCAATAGTTCCTGAATTGGAAACTGAGTTCAGGTTCTTTACAGTGAAACCTATTCATTTGGATTTAAGTTATAGATTTGATACATTATTTTTTTTTCAAAATTCAAATCAAACAAATACCTACTTGTAACGTGTTTGAATCTTAATTTCCCTATTATATTAATTTTCCAGTTCCAAAATAAGAAATTAATTATTACCACCTACTATATAGGTGGAATAGGTGTATACTATTCTTTTTTAACTTAAATTAGTATATAAATGTTTTTAGGGAAAATTAGTACATGTAACTTACTCCCTCCGTCCCAAAATAAGTAATATTTTGCACTGTTTACGTCTAAGGTTTGACCGTTCGTCTTATTTAAAAAAATTATGATTAAATTTTTTATTGTTATTACTCCCTCCATTCCAAAATATAAGGCATAACCACCCCTAACCCAAAGACCAACAAATAATTATTATCATCTTGTAGTTTGGATCATCCTAATAAATACAATGCATGCATCCAATAGAATTATAGCAAGTTTAATAGTATAGCCCACTGCTAGCTCTAATTCATTTATAGCCAATCTAATAGCTAATTCATATAATAGTTGCTTACTATACTACTCCCTCCATCTATTTTTGATAGTTATATTTCTAAATCTGAAAATTTTATTTTTGATAGGCATATTTCAATCCAACAACCTATCCTCTTAATGATTTTCTCGAATTTAATGCGTGACTCTCTATTCTTCCACACATGATTGGCTACATGGGCATTGAGAAATGTAAATATTAATGAATCGCTTGTTTACGAGGAATGACTAGTAGCATGTTTAAATGGATGATAAGTAGAATTACTTATCCTTGGTCTGTGTGCCAAGATGAAATATGACTATCAAAAGTAGATGGAGGGAGTATTAATTTATGGTCCCACCTATCATACACATATTGTGTCTTGTAGTCCGTGGTGCAGTTGGCTACAGATCTGTAGACCGATGCTCTTCTCTCTCATCTTTTATCTCATTAAAATATATTTATAGCTGGCTAATAGTCTGCTATTGTACCTGCTCTTAGAGAGCATGAGAGTGTACGATTTAAAAAAGTAATAATTTATTGGAGAAGTGGTTATAGTTAATTGTTGTCACGCCCGGAAATTCACTAGTAATTTTCGAACTAATTTGTGCATAAAATCCTCGTCCAGAAATCAGCCGAGGTACACAAACTGACAATTTAATATACAAATCCATCATAATAATAACGTTACATACTTACAAAAGAAAAGAAAAACAACAGCGGAATAACGGTCTAGCGATGGCTTCAGCTCCACTCCCACAGGCAGCTCAACTGGGGTATAAGCCAAACGTCTGCTCCTTCTGGATCCTTTCTCTTCAACTGAGGTTGATTGATTATTGCAAGGATGAGCATATGACATACTCAACAAGCCACACAGCAAATATGCAAGTGCACAAGAATACCAAAGGATGGCATAATATAGGCTCATTTGCAAAAGCAGCATTTAGCAAACATTTAAGAGAAGTAAAACAGTAGAGTAATTAATCATCAATTTTAATCAACACTGAACAGCACCCCAATGCTGCACAGGCCCAACCATCCTAAACAACCATACCCGGCTGTACAGATCTAACTCCAAACCAGGAGCTAAACAAATTATTACCAGTTATTGCATCAATAATTATTTGTGAGAGGTGTGAGACTAATCACGAAAAACATTGCTCAACCCGCCCATAACCGCGGGCACGGCTATTCGAATAGTTTTACTCTGGCCAAAGGTGTACCACTGTACCCACAAGACACGATTCCACACATGTTGCCATGCCCCGAAGTACCACCACGGCACTGCAAAGGGGGAAATCGTGACAATACCCTTCGCACAACACAACTCACCACAGTGCACCATTCCTGGATCATAATCACCCCCTTATAAACAAGGCATGGACTCCCCAGCGACCCCACGGACTTCTCGCCGCTTCTCAGTTTGGCACCCCGTAATGAACCATGCTATACAAAAGGTAAAGTCGTTGCCCACGCTGGCTTGTGGTTGGCACGGTAAATGTTTCACAACAATAGCTCGCGAACTGGTCCTTAATTGTCATGAGCACGACCTTCAAAACCATATACTCACAACCCACCATTGACAAGTTTTAATTATCAATTAATTATCATAACACGATAACCATGAGCTACATTTAAATCTAACCATAATTTAAATCTAACCATAAGAAATGATGTAATATGATTCACCCCATTAATGAGCTAATGTTTCTAAGCATGGCTAAGCAATTATATATATATAGCATTTAGCTGAACCAAACCAATATATAAGGTTCTAGCTAATCGAATTATAACTCATAGGAAAATAAAGTCATCTTCGGCCATTAATTAATTGGGAAAGGCTCACCACCCGATGACATTCGAAAATAATGCATAAGTTGAAATAAAACATTAGCTTTAAACGGGTTCAACATGCTTAAAGGGTCCTTTGGGATCTGTGTGACTTGCCTTGAGCTTCCTCAAACGCTTCTGAACCTTCCTCAACGAAAACGCTCTCCTCCAAAACGTCAGAAACTTAAGCGAAAGAACAAAATCAACAAAACAGTACAAAAACAAGCATAAACAGTACATGTGGATATTTTTAACATGTAATGAATTTAGCAACTTGAACCACTCGAATCCGAGTTACGATGATTTAGTTATGAATTTCCGAAGTTTAATCGATTTTCATCTAATAAAGAAAACTAAGAAAAGGGATTAATGACGTCATCGCTGACGTCATCGCCGGCCATGGCACGGCTTCCACGCGACGACCGGCAAAAGAGAGCTCGGTTGGGCTATCCGAGAACACCTACACGTAGAGGACGACGACGCGAACTCACCGGTGCAAAGAACAACGACGGACGGCGACGAACGACGGCCGGCGACGACCACAGCAGCGGCGCGACGCGGCTGAAGGATCGCCGGCGACGGCGGCGGCTAGGGCAACGTGGCGGCGGCTCTACGGGCGACGATGGAGCTCGGGACTTGGGGCAAACGGAAGAGGACGACTAGGGGATGCTATTTATAGGTATGGGTGGAGGAGATCGGCTCAGGAACGGATGGATTTGGTGAAGGAAGTTAGGATTTATCCGAGTTCACCCGAATAAAAACGGCCGAAATTCGTGAGATAGATAACGAATTTGATGAGGGTTTCTTCGGGATTAGGTAGAGGAGATAGAGAGGAATCCGTTTTTTCAATCAATTTTGGGAGGGAAGCAACGGATGCACCGGATCGAACGGAGAAGGCGGCGTTGCAACGCACGGCATCGGGCAGAACAGGGGCTCTGGAGGAAGAAGATGACACTGTTGCGAGAGGGAGGTAAAGCAGACTTTAGGCTGGGCTGAGGAAGGGAGAGAGAAGAGGAAGGAATGGGCCGAAAAGGGCCCAAGCTGAGGAGGAGGATTTTTATTACTTTTCCAAATAAATCAATCACCAAAATGATCTTTGAATTGTTAAAAATACTTCCATTGCTCAAATAATTTCAGGAAAAATCCTGAAAATACTTGGACACTCAAAGTACTTAACAAAATTAAAATCAGATCATTTAATGATTAATTTAATATTTAAATAATTGCTGAACTACTCTTTGTAGGATTAAAATTAAGAGTTGAGCTCCGAAAAATCCGAGAAAATTCCAGAGAGTATAATTAACAATGGAGAATTTAATAAAACTTAAATCCAGCCATGCTTTATATTTAGAAAATTTTATTTCCCACATTTAACTTCACTTGTAAATTAATGAACATTTAATATAAATTCTAATAATAATTTATTAAATAATTTATAAATCCTGAAACGAAAATCAGGACGTGACAATTGTCTATATGCATGCATACCTTATATTATGGAACATCTTAAAAAAAATGGTTGTGCCTTATATTATGGAATGGAGGGAGTGGATGATAAAACATGAATAATACTTTATGTGTGACTATTTTTAATTTTTTTTAAAAAAATTAAATAAGACAGACAGTCAAACGCTGGATACGGATACCCACAACTGCATTTATTTCGAAACTGAGGTAGTAGATCCTTAGATGGATAGCCTTTTAATATATACCTCCATTAAATATGTGTTTCCTAGGTGGCCTGATTTTAGTATGGACGCAGAGACATAATCGGAGACGTAATCTAGTAGCAGGCGTAAGCGTAACCCAGACGGACTATATATAGTTGGAACCCACCCACCCGTTGCGTTGCCGCCCAGCCGAACAGCCAGAAATCCCCATCCCCACACCCCAGCCAGCCGTCTCATCGCCAACTGGTTCAGCGCCCATTTTGGCCACTCCACACGATCCCCTCCGCTCCCAGGCCGACGGTGGTAGAGGCAGAAAATCGGATGGACAAGCCAGCGGCGACCCGGCGGCGGGGGGGGGGGGGGGGGGGGGGGGGGGCAAAGCGGTCAAGGACCCACGACGCCTGCTGGTGCTGCTCCTTCTCCTCCACGCAGATCCCCTTGACGAGGGGAGCGAAGCGAAGGAGCGTTAGCCGCCTGCGCCCTTGCTCCGCCGCGCCGTCGTCTTGGTGTAGTTGGGGCGCAAAGCGCGCGCGCACCGGCACCGCGCTCGGTCCTCCTCCTCCTCGCCCTAAACTATCTTCGGATCGGATTCCTTTATTTGAATCCGAATCGGTTGATGGGACGGATTGGCGAATCTCGGTGAAGGGCCGGCGGGGCTCATCGCCGAGCGCGTCCTCGCCAACGATGTGGCTGACTACATCCGCTTCCGGTCCGTGTGCCAGCCGTGGCGGCGGTGCTGCGCGGCGCCGCCGGCGGATGACGCCTTGGACCGCCGCTTCCACCCGCGGCAGTGGCTCATCCTCCCCGAGAAACCCCGCATTCGCTACCACTGCCGCCTCCTCAACCTCTCCACCGGCGAGTGCATCCTGGCGCACCTCCCGGAGTTCCGTGGCCACAGAGTATTCAGCCCCTCCACGGAGGGCCTCGTCCTCCTGCTCCATGAGAGCACCCATGTCGCCCGCCTTCTAAACCCACTCACCCACCAGCTCACCGACCTCCCACCGGTCACCACTTTGTTGGACCTCCTTCTGCCGCTGTGTGATCTCAGCGTGGACGGCTTTGGCCTCGCCGACGACCGCACGGTGGTGATCCATAACACAGTGTTCCTCGCCGTCGCCAAGCCCGGCGACAAGTGCTGGACGGCGGTCAACCTCAGCGATTGTCTCCGGCCGAGCATGTCATTAGCGGGTCGCTTCTACGGCGTTACCAGCGATGCCATCATGGTGGTGGAGGTCAGCCGGGAGAGCCAGACGCCGCAGCTGGTGGAGGCCGCCGACCTGACGTTGCAACACAGGTTCAGCAGGATGCTCGGCAGCGCGCACCTGGTGGACAACAATATTGGCGAGCTGTTGCTGGTGCACCGTACCCTAAGTGGTAACAAGAGGTTGTACCAGGCGTACCGGGTGGATTTGGATGGGAGGAAGACGGTGCCTGTCCGTGGTCTCGGTGGTCGGGCCGTGTTCATCGGCCATGACTGCTCGCTATCCGTGTCCCCTGCTACATTCCCCTCGATCGTTGGTGACGCCGTCTACCCGGGCTTCGACTGTGGGGATAGAACTGGCCTGGAGCACATCGAAGCCTATCACCTGGCAGATGGAACCATTGAACACTCATGCTATGAAGACCCCGGCAAGGAATGGGAACACCCTGTAAGTATCGCTGATTATCTATCCTCGTGGGTGTAAATAATAGGCTACGATGCAGCAGTTGTATCCATCATCTCAAGACTGTCCCCTGCAATGTGCTGTTTATTTTCGTCCTCTTATTTATTAAGAGGTAAAACCTCACACATTACTGCAAGAGAAATATGATAACAAGTGAAAATAGTGTGTAAGATAGCTAAACGACATAATATTATATAAGTTGATGTGGTTTTTGATATTTTAAATAGTATATCGTAATTGCTAAAAAAACAACTTTTAAATGTAACTATAGTATAGCATAGTTGTAGTGTAAGTACAATGTAATTACGCTATAGTGTAACTATACTATAACTATATTGTAATTTCTATATAAGGTAGATATAAAGTTGCATATATTATTTTAATACTTATATATTATAGTTGAATTATATTACAATTATATTATAGTTAGATTTAAAAGTTTTTCCCTTAAAGAACTTGCGGCAGCTTTTTTAGATAATTATTCAAATATAAAAGTAAGATGATGTAGCTATGAGAAAAGAAAATAAAGAAGATAATTCGAACCATAGATTAATCATCTAAGGGTTAGAAGCAACTGAGATAATATGACTTAATGAGAGAAGAAAAAAATAATATTAACTAAGTGATGATAACGGTTAGGTACTTTGGATATCGTAAAAAATGATGAAAATACATATGGAAGTCAAATAAATTGGTCTATATTGAAATGTTATGTTGATGATTTAAATGCTTGCATTTCAAAGCTCTAATATTAATAAATTATATAGATATAATACAACATGTTTGAGGTTTAAGATGTAATAATTGTTAGTGTAGGATAATATGATATTTTTGCATGTTAAGTTTTATTATATAGGATTTGTACGAAAATATAAATGTGTAGAGTGGAGAGTCTAATTATTCCTCCAACGTTTCCTTGCAATACTTGCACTTAAAGAGAAACAGAAGAATCCTCCAGCACAATCATCAAGATGAGCCGCGAGTAGCTTCCCTTTTGGTGGAAGATACTCCCTCCGTCTCATTTTACGTGTAGTCGTGGGTTACCCTCTTATTTGAAAAAATTAACAAAAATTTGTCACGCTTAAAGTACTATTAATGTTTTATCATCTACTCCCTCCGTCCCATAATATAAGGGATTTTGACTTTTTATTTGCACTGTTTGACCATTTGTCTTATTCAAAAAAATTTGTAATATTTATTTATTTTATTTGTGACTTACTTTATTATCCAAAGTATTTTAAGCTCAAATTTTCATTTTCTATATTTGCACAATTTTTTTAAATAAGACGAGTGGTCAAACAGTGCATGAAAAAGTCAAAATCTCATATATTATGGGACGGATGGAGTAATAACAATAAACATACCAATAATTTTTTTTCAAATAAGACGAACAGTCAAATGTTAGATAGAAAAACCGCAAAACTGTGTTTTTTCTAGAATGGGGGTAGTATTAATAAAGGAGAATTAACTATTGCAATGTAATATATTTATTTATTTTTGCCTCTCTGGAGTTAGTGTTGTTGTCATCGATTCCGTTTGACCCAACTTCCTGCAACTGACTTGTGATTTGCGGTTTCCCTGTTCTTATTGAAGTTTGCTCCTCAATGGTAGCATCGTGTACCTAAAATAATTTGGTGGGATAGTCTAATTATAATAAATTATCTTGGTGGGAATGGATCATACTCCATCCAAATCCGTAGTTCTAAGATTGGTCTTATCCTATCTTATATTGCTACATGTTGAACAGTAAATATGATCACATATTTGTTGTCTTGAACGTGTTGTTTTTTCAATGACTAAGGAGAAAAGTCCTTACATCCCCACTTTTCATTAAAGCCCAAATTTGTCCCTAAACTTTGCATATTGTTTGCCTTTCATCCTCTGATCAATTTAAAGTGGTTTTGAATGATGTGGCAGTGTTATATAATGATGAAAAAAAAATATTATTAATTCAAATTTGGTAAATGCCCAAAAAAAACTCGCATCTTCCATGGATCATTTAAAACAAAAAAAACGTGTGTCCACAAACAACATAGAATATAATTGTACCTATATTAGGATAAATTATATCCATATCAGTCTGTCAGAGAAGCTAACACATACTTCAGATACTACATTGCCATATGCAGTACAAGTATAACATAAAACCAATGGTATCGTTAGGTGACAAAACCTGACTATTATCTTCTAAATATTTACTATCTTCTAGAGAACTTTGACAAGAGATAGACAACGAAGAAGCAAAACAGAGCAAAAAGGACCACATGCACAACATGATTCGAGCCCTGTTGGATGATGCTCTTGTTCACTCCAGCCTGAGCTTTTATGAGGGTCATTTGCTGTCCACAAAAAGGACAACAAAAATAAGAGAATAACTAGGATTTATATTATTGTTGGAGAAAACATGAAGAATTGGTACTTAAAGCTATAAAAGATTAAACGGAACCGGAGTGAGTAATAGTTTATGCTTCAATAAAACTGTTCTTTTTTTCGCGAGGTGCTCAAACTATTCTTGAAGTGCCATACTACTATTCTTATTTGTTTTTTTGGAACTTTTTAACTTAACACCAGTAATTTGGTATTTTCTTGATTAAGGGCATACATGTCATGGCAGAGTGCTTGTTTGAGATATTTTAGTACTGATTTAATTATATATTTAGCCACCTATTAAAACACAAGAATTTTATATAAATTTTATAATATTTAAACAATAATTAATGAATTTTTATAGAAAAAATTTTGAAAAAAATTCTTGCACTGCAAAGGTCTAGCTTGCTCTGAAGACTAGTTTCAATAGAAAGGCAGACGGAGAGGGTTTTCGATGACTCATTAGCTTCTTTAAAAAGAAAGTGACACCTTGTGTTATACCATGAGAAATATTTTTTAAAAAGAATGTCACTTACTTTTTTATTAAGAAAATCACCATGAGTATAATAAAACTTTGGTTCAACTCCTTTCCTCCGTAATTAGATTGCAGTACAACGCAATTGCGTTATTGTTTGTGGGCTTTGAGCACTATGAACTGGCCAGCCCAATGCGAAGTCATAACCAACCCAGTACAAAATGTCATCCCTCTTGTTTTTATAAGGAGCAAATATGAAGAGCAATTTGCATATCGCTTCTCATGTGAACCCAAACAATGTGTGGTTTTTCCTCGGCCCATCGCATTCAACACGTAATGGGAAAACATTTTTCGCTTTACTGCTCCAAACAAACATCATCTCAGGGGTGTTTAGATCTAGGAGTGTAAAGTTTTGGCGCGTCACATCGGATATTATATAGGATGTCGTATGGCGTGTTCAGACACTAACAAACAACTAATTACAGAATCCGTCAGTAAACCGCGAGACAAATTTATTAAGCCTAATTAATCCGTCATTAGCAAATGTTTAATGTAGCACAACATTGTCAAATTATGGAGCAATTAGGCTTAAAAGATTCGTCTCGCAAATTAGTCGCAATATGTGCAATTAGTTATTTTTTAGCCTATATTTAATACTTCATGTAGGTGTTCAAATATTCGATGTGACATGGTGAAAAATTTTAGGGTAGGATCTAGACAGGTCTACTGTGTTTGATACTTGGGGTTGGGAACCCAACTCCACCGCACGGAAAACGGAGCGGTCCATTAGCGTGTGATTAATTAAGTATTAGTTAATTTTTTTTCAAAAATGGATTAATTTGTTTTTTTAAAGCAACTTTCGTATAGAAACTTTTTGCAAAAAAACACACTATTTAGCAGTTTGAAAAGCGTGCACGCGAAAAACGAGGGAAAGGGGTTGGGAAACTTGTGGAAAGAACACAGCCTAAGTTGAAATTTTAGAAAACTGAGTAGGAGTCCCCACCGAACGTGACCTTTTCTCTCCTGTAACTTTCTCCCTCCATTCCCAAATAGATTACCACGGTTACTATCTATATTTAAACTTTGACTATTTATCTTTTTTAATATTTTGTAAATATTTATTGAAGTATATAACATTTGTTCATAGTAGTCTAACATTATTAGCGGTCAAAGTTAAATAATGCAGGTATAATTATTTAAAAATGGAAATAATATATTTTACCAACAAATCCTCTATTAACAATTGTATCCCACTTAATAGGCTTTACTAATATTTTTAGTGTTAAATAACATTATAAATTGTCCATATGTGTTTGTCCATGCTAAGAATCTTGATAGATCCGTCACTGCGCCCAACTCCTCAACAACAATTCTCATCCTCCTTTATATTTCTTCTCTTTTCTCCCATCCGAGTAAACACAACACTTTCATTTTGTTGTAGGAATATAATAACCTTGCATCAATGTACTAATAGTCTAGTATCTTCAGCTACTAATAAGTAAGGTCCTGTTGGGTGTTTTTTTTTGGGGGTGGGGGGGGTGTTTAAAATTCTGTGAGTAGCTGATTTCAGTTTACTTTTTAGACTATGTAACTATATATTCTTATAATTTGAGTGAGTGAGAATACACGCTGTTTGGGAGCTAAAGATTCTAATATGAAACTACTACCATGGCTAAACTCTCCTAACTAGGCGTAAGAAAGTATCTGTGTATTTGTTAAAAGACATCCTCGATGGATAGTGACAACAAACAGTGGCCAAGTAGACAAGCACTCGTTGACGAAGCAAGCTCTACACACTGCTACCTTTTCTCACATACTCCACCCGTATTCCTCAATTCTTGCGGACGATCAAGCGTGCGTTTAGTTCACATTAAAATTAAAAGTTTGGTTAAAATTAAAATGATGTGATGAAAAAGTTAAAAGTTTATGTGTATAGGAAAATTTTGATGTGATGAAAAAGTTAGAAGTTTAAAGAATTATTTAGAACTAAACACGGTACAACCATACGTTGGATAGACCATTTGAACGCCGTACACACCGAGCACGCATACTCGTAGCGAACACTTCCCCGCTACCTCTCCCGGCTAAAAGACAAGCGAAGGAATTGGAAGGAACGTCCCCGTCCTGCCTGCCGTCCCGGCAGCGTGTGTTGGTGGCCACGAAGGGACGACCGGACGAGCCTGCCGATCGAGCTGACGCGCGACGCCACTACTCCACCAATAAACAAAATCTCCATCCACACCTGACCCAAGACGGGAGGACCCGCATCAGCCACGCCTTTCGCGCGCGCTAGCCCCCTGTTTCCTCCGTTTCCTCCTCCGCTTTGCTTTGCTACTATGGGAAAGTAATTTCACTTAAATAATTATCAAAAAAAAATTGAAACAATTTGGTAAGATAGATTAATATAAAGTATATCACTCCACAAACATATAAGTTAAAATTTAACTTCTACTAGTTGTAAAATAATAATAAATATATATGCGAATGTACGATATATAGCTATTTTCAGTTTAATTTGTTCTGTTTGTTACAACATGTAGAAGTCGAATTTGGTCTTGTGTTTGTGGGGTGCTATATTTCGTATTAATCTATATTGTTAAGTTTTTTAAAAAATTTTATGACTATTTAAATGATAGGTAAACAACGAGGAAATATCATGTCGTGGAGGAATGAAAATCCATGTCCTACTACTATGCGTGTCTTCTACCTCCTCTCCTCCTGCCGTGCCTTCCACCTTCGACCTTGCTCTTCCCTGCCCTACTTTACGGCTCTACGGATGTGTTTTGTTTCAATTAGAAATCCGTGATTCTATACATATTACTAAGGCTATATTAGGGAAGCTTAAAATTTTAAGAATTATGACTGTGTAAGAATTTATTTTCTATATTCTATAACTACAAAATCTAAGAATATGGATTGTTTAGGGGGCATGGAGATTTTGGGAGAATCCACCCCTTCGATAGTGAGTTTAGGGGTGGCATTTTTTTCATTTTCTATTAACACGCTTTTTGAAAAACTAGAATATTAGGGAAGGACCTAATATCAAATAATTAGGAGGGGTGAGGCTTTGAACCCAGGTCGTCTAGCCCACCACCTTGTGGAGCTAGCCAGAAGACCCCTGGGCATTTCTCATTAACACGCTTTTTGAATTATCAAACGATGTAATGTTTTATACAGAGTTTTCTAAATAGACAAATAAAGTCATTTTTCAAGTTTGTGATAATTAATAATCAATTAAATGTCTAATGGCTGTTGGATTGCTTAGCATGGATAGTGCATGGGTCGGTATTAAGGGTGACTTGAGCAGAGGCTGTAGAGTTTGACCTTTGGAGGGAGTTCCAGTGAATATGGGTCTTTGTAATTTTCTTTTTTGGGGGGATATGGGTGTGTGTGCTGATGTGCTCAATTTTGAGAAGGTTAGAGATGTTAGAGCAGGCAGGGCGTCCGGCGTGTGCGAAGGTGTGCATGTGGTAATGCAAATATTTGTCTCATAGATGAAAATAAGTTTAAACGCAAGTTCTACAAGATATCAATGTTCTTATCCATGGACCTTAGTTAAGTCTTTCAGAAAACCATTTTATCCCTAGAATCAATCAAGTATTATGTGAGCACTTTCATTCTTTTGCAATGATAGTGAAATAACGAAATATTACACCCGTTATCTATCAAATTTGTGCAGCAAATATTTGAATCAATGATTTGCGTCAGTGTCTCACACTGTCCAGAAATCTACTGTCACATGTAGGTTTCGTGTAAAAGCCGCTTTCTAAAAGGATTTAGTAAAATATTACTCTTAACCTATGGCAATACGCTACAATACTATCCGAGACCAACGCGCCGTCGATGCCGCCGCTTCAATGCCGACGGCAGGGTGGGGCGGGGCCATCCGCTACGGCGATCCGCACGGCTTGCCGTCTGCTTTGTTGAGAGAGAGGGAGAGAGCAGAGAGCAAGTTGAGGGATGGAGAGAGCAGCGAAAAGAACGAGAGGGAGCAGAGAGACGTGTTGCCGGCAGGGGTAGGAGAGGAAATTAATATCCGTGGCTTTTTGATTGGGATATCTACTGTGGGATAGAGTACCTTGATCCAGTTGTTTCGGGTTTTGAAGAACCCACTTAGTTGTGGCCTTAATTGGGAGACGAGTGTCCACGTGAGCAGGGGGTGGACGTTCGGTTAGACTGAAAAATTCAGTCTTGGTTTATGGTCTTTCGGTCATTTCAGTATTTGAAAACTTAGGACTGAATTTCATCCTAAAAAAACACAGGGCTGGCAAATTCAATTTCAGTCTTTTCGGTCTCGGTCTTGGTCCGACTGAAATTTTTCAGGAGTAAGTTTGGAATGAAAATTTTAACAGCACTTCCCCTCTTTTGAGACATTTTTTCACACACACACACACAAATATATATATATATATATATATATATATATATATATATATATATATATATATATATATATATATATATTTATATTTATCGTGCTTCCTAGATCTATTGAGCCAAAATTTCGGTCAATTCGGTTAACCGAGCCTAATAACCAAAATGACCGAAATAAATTTAGTCTTTTGATGGCTGGGACCGAACAACTAACCGAATTTCTCGGTCTCGGTTTTTTCGGTTCGATTCTTCGGTTCGGTCTAAATCTGCCCACCCCTACACGTGAGTGCCTTCAGTTAGTGAGGGTACTCTATGGGTGTCTTCCATTGTACATGTCCTAAGAAAATTCATGTGCTTTGCACTTGTGAAAATTCATTGTTTAAGAATAGGACAAGACTAACAACTCACTTGTTGACAAAGCAAGCCCTACAGGTCACTACGTACGTTACGTTTCTCCCATCCCACCCCATGTTCTTGCAGACAGAAGAAAACATGATCACCACACAAAATTATTCGGAAGAAAACACCATCGAGACGCAGCCATGACTTAGTTTATGGAGTACTAATTACTCGAGACGCATACTAATAGCCGTATAGATAGACTTTTTTTTAATCAAGGCAACTCACGGTCACGGCCACCTCTTCAGCTTTACTTCCTCCATCGTAAAAAAACTCAACTTATAGAGTTTAAATTTTATTTTAGAAAAACCAACTTCTACTATCTTATCTATCATCAACGTAAAACGAGAAGGTTTTTACTTCAATACCATTTATCTACATATTAGTCTTATTATGTTTTTTAATAATTAAAAATATTTTAGTTAGTCTTATTCTCTACTAATTCTATTTTGGAATGTTAGAAATGGATTTTTTCGTGGGATGGAGGGAGCAGAGGAGAACACGAGCCGAGAGCAAAACGTCCCCGTCCCGCCGTCCCGCGTGTTGGCGGCGGCCACGAAAACGGAGGAATTGACGCGCGCGCGACGCCACTAATAAACTAAACAGAAGGATTAGAATAAATCAAATCTCCGTCGCTCTCGTCTCTCCAAAGTCCAGACTCCATTCCATGGGATCGGTGGTGGGGGCCCGCGTCAGCCACGCCTTTCGCTCGCCCAGTCTCCTTCCATTTCCCTCGGTTCCTCCTCTCTCCTCCTCCTCCTCCGTGTTTGCGTTGCGTCTCCTCCTCCCGCACGGCTCGCTCCCTGCCCACTCCTCCTCCTCTCCTCTCCTCCTCCTGCTGCCGTCCACGCGACACCACCGAGCGTCGCCTTCGTTCTTCCTCCGCCTTGCCCTTCCCCGTACGTCCTGCTCTTGCGGAGGGAGGTGTTTCGCTCCGGTTCCTCGCCGTAGCAGCAGCAGCGAGGTGAGCATGTGCGGCATCTGTTTGACTGGATTGTTCCGGGGTTATTGGATGGGTAGAGTCTGTTGCGGGCTTAAGGCACAGAGGTTGCTCGCCATGGAGTTGGGGCCAGCCATGGAAGTGCTGCTCTGTGTTGTTTTGGGGTGGGTGTAGCAGAGTTTGGAGGGAGTTCCGACGGGCATGGGGCTCCGCGAAAATTGGGTTTTCTTCATTTGGTAAATTTTAACTTTGTTTGGTTACGGTTCGAATGTCAGTTGCTACGTTGGGTGGGGGGAGCAGGCAGAGAGTATGTGTGGGCTCCTGCGTTGTGTTCGATTAGGATCAATTTTTGGAAGGAAAGGCAGAGAGGAAAGGGGGATCAGGTTGATGTCTCGTAAAGTTAGTGGAAATGCGAATATTTCTTTTGTAGGCCATTGCATTTTTATCTTTAGCTTTCGGGCACTTGCGATACTCCTCGTTGATGATTCGAGTTGGGACCCAGCGATAACACGTTGATTTGGGTGGCTGTTGATGTTGTGTGCAGAGTAGTTGCTTTTACCTCAAATCTGAACTTTTTAGTCAACTGGTATATATGCTACAATAATGCCTTTGGGGATTCTTGATCATATCCATATCATCCCAACCTTCTGAAGGTGCTGATCTATTACCATTGTGATTGAAATTTGCTTGCTGTTTTTTTTTTTTAAAAAACTTTACAACAACAAAAGGAACCTTCAGTTTATCTCCTTATCTTCTTGTGCCCACCACTTTAGATTGGCATTTGATTCATTTCATGATTCTCATATATGTAAGAACTAATACAACTTGAACTTTTTTCCTGGAAGTTAGCAAGTACAGTAGTCATATCAATTGCTGCTTTAAGATGGTCCATGTAATGTGTTTTACAGCAGTCAGTAAAAACCAGTCATACATCTCTACTATTATAAAAATTGAAGATGTTTTTGCCGGTACTTTGGTACATCATCCGTGTATGAGTCGGTTTTTAAGTTCGTTCGCTTTTGTAAATACAGAAGGAGCCGTATAGATATCTCTTTAAAAAACTCGCATGCTAACTTGATACGATCAGACTCCTAATTGCAGCTCATGATTAAAATAGTTTTCACCCGTTGCAACGCACAGACATTTTTTCTAGTTAAGGAATAAAACTCAAATCCATCTGACATAGCTTGAAGCCTTGTTATAAGCACTACAAAAGCAACTGTTATGCTGCCAGTCATGACGTACCAACTATCTTCTTATATAACTTCAGTTGATGTTTCTGAATAAAAAGTCTGTCGGTTTGACTTATTACACTCGTTGTAAGCTAAGCAACTTCATTTTCAAGCCTCTAAAATAGTGTGCAGGACCGTAGGCATTTTTTATTTTTCAAAACTTTTAACTTTTGGCAAAATGGCATTTTATTATTGTTTTGTTTATTCAAAGTTGGGATTGAGATTGCTAGTTACATACTGAAATCAACATGTATTCCTTTTTTGTGTAGGTGATACCTTTAGTCTGGCAAACATAAAATATGGTTAAGATAATGGATAATCAGTCATCGATTGAAGAACTGGATGAACCATTAGGGAGAGTTCCAATACTTTCATATGGTTCTGGGCATATGCTAAATGACATCACTTCTTCATGTTGGTTTACTTATTTGCTGGTTTTCTTGACAGATATTGGGCTTAGTCCAAGGTATGTGCCTTTGAGGGATAGATTTTGTTGTCCATTTGTTCTGTTAATTTTTGTATCATGTTATTTACACATATTTCTAAATCATATTGAATGAAGCCATTAGTGCACTTTTTTTAGTTGTTTTCAAACACTTAATCCACTCTGCTTGATGAGGAATTGTACAAAAACATAGGTTCATATTTAAAGTCAGGATGTCCTAAATGTGGTGCAATAGATATTTCACCGGGATATCCTGCAAATGAATGTAACGATTGGTCATCTTTTTTCGGATGAATTTTTTGCATCATTATTGGTATTGTGCCACTTAAGAGTTAAGACTAGCCACAACTTCATGATGTCCAAGCAACTGTTGCGGCTATAGCAAAGTTAGCAACTTTGACTTTTTTTTTTTTGGAAATTATTGGCTCATTTATGATCAAAGACATGCCGTAGAGACTGCATACAGTATGGAATTGTTGGACCAGATCATCAGAACATTATACTTGTATTCGTATCTCGAGAAATGTTCTATCAGAGATGCTGAAAGAAATTTTCTACGAGAAACATTGGAAGTTTGAAAGGATTACGTGCTGCTTCAGGATTCTTTTAGACATTTTACCTTTTATTCACCTTTTCAGTGATGCTGCTGTTGTCATGCTTTCTGGTCAATTGGCAGATGGCTTCGCAACAATCTTCGTTGGAGAACTGGTACGACCTAAGAAAGAACATGATTGTTTACTAAAGCATTGTTATAAAGCTGTGACATCATATTCTCATGGCTTATCTTCTCTTAGACGTTCGCTACTAGTTTTCCTGTGTTTATTGTGTATAGTTCCAAACTAGATATGTAAATTCTATCTTCTTTTTTTTTTATCCAGATTGATCGCTTTGGACATTTTAAACTGTGGCATGCAGGAGGATCCATTTTAGTAGCAATTTCCTTCTCATCTGTTTTTGGTAGCTGTTTGCCTTGCAAACTTACGGGAACTATTTCATCTACAATGGAGACTGTTGGATATAGCACATTCGCTGCTATTTTCAATGTTGGCTGGGCAGTTACTCAGGTCTCTCATATGTAATGCCTCTTCCTTTCATTGTTTATCTCCATTTTCTTTTCTTGTGATTCCTGCATTTGACTTGTGTACATCATCTGCGTATTTTCTAAGGTCAATGGTGAACTGCATGACATCAAACCCAACAAGTCGGGTTGCATTAGTAAGCTGCCGTAATGCCTTCACAATGGTTAGAACATTAATTTAATCTAATTATTCTTAACTCAGGTATTACAAAAGAGCTGAATCTGATGATCCTTTTCTGTGCTCGTGCTAGATCGCAAATCTTAGCCTGTATGGCATTGCTTTGTTGATATTTAGTCTACGTCAGTCAGTGAGCGTGATAGTTCAGGTACTCTCTTGTTTTAAGATAATATTTTACTATTTGCCTGATCTTTTGGATTTATCTTAAATTTTGGAATCCTATTTCAGTATCGATGGATAGCATATGTGTCCATTGCCCTTGGATCTTGTTTCGTCGTTGTGTTCTTGATTGGAACGGAAGAGCCAGGGTAAGATAAAAAACACTTGTGGAGTTCATAGTTTAAAGGCCATATAATTTTGATGGTTTTTCTTCCACTAGGTTTTCCTCATTTTTGCAGTATTTGAATGACTTTTAATTTTTTAGGTTAAATCAGCATTGCCAGAATAAGAGACTTTCCAGGATTTCATGGACCCACTGGTTCAAGAAAGTATTGTACTACCAAGTTGCTCTAGTATACATGTTTACTAGATTGGTTACCAATGTTTCACAGGTATCTATAATCTTTTCCTATTTTTCTTATGGGACTGAAATCTTCTTTCCTTTGATAAAAATATAATGCATTTTTAGTTCCATGTATATAATGGCCTTGTATCACTTGTTTATTTTCAAGCATATGGTCAGTGGCGAAGGTAAGGGGGGTGCCAAAGGGTGCCAACACCCCCCTATCCAAACACTACCACCACTACACCCTCATGTATTTTACTCTATATTAAGTTAGCTAAGATAAGTATTTATCTAATTTATTTTGTGTAGCTTGAAAGTATTATCAATTTAATTAGTTAGCAAGTCTAAAAATGTTAGCAAGAGACATGATCTACAAAATTAGTTTGTGATTTCTCATATTTTTCAAAGTAAAATAGATGATACTTATTTGTGAGATTATTTAATAGTTTATATTAAAAGAATTTAGCAATAAAGACTAGTTTTAAATTTCCAATGATATTATTAAAGAGCTAAAATTTAAGTTTTTCTTAAAGGACTAGTTTACGCATTGCTTGTTATTGACGGTGACTATTCTTAAAGGACTAGTTATTCGGTCTCATGGTTTATCTTCACCCCACACCCCCCTAATCTCAAATCCTGGCTTCGTCCCTGCATATGGTTATTCTGTATGACAAAGGATATCTCGTAGAGATTAATGTATTGTACTCCAAAATAGTTTACCTTGTTAACTGTGTTCCATGGACCATGGCATGGTGGAACATAGTAAATTCTTTTGCATGTAATTCCAAATTCACGCATAGGTTATTATGCAGCAAAAACTTTGTATGTTTTGGGATGAAATATTGACTAGTTCATGCTTAAATATGGTGGTGGATATTATATATGAACTTTATATATTTCTTTTTTTCCTAGATTCTTTTTTCTGTGAAATTCTCTACTAACATACTAATTTTGAGACATACTATAGAAGCACATTCTCACGATGCATTAGCATTTTTCTGTTTCTAATATGTTTACTGGATAATGGGAATTTTGTTTGATTATTTGTGCAGTATTTGTGTATATTGACGTATTACCTTTTTCACTAGGTTTAAACTACAATGCTCTTGTTTATGCTTTGAACTAATAGCTAGAGGACACATCAACTATAACGTTTCTGTATTTGGTCAGGCACTTCTTGCTTTCTACGTCATAAATGATTTGGAAATGCCACAATCATCCAAAGCATTGGTAAGGTTCTTTTTCATATATTTGCTTTGTAAATGTTGTTTTATTTAATTTATCTCATGTATTACACTAGCGCTGGTGTTGAATATGTCATTGGGATGGTTGTTCGCATGCAATTGTACAACAAGTTTTTTTTTAGATAATGGAATATAATATCCCGGCCTTTGCTCAAAAAGAACTACAACCAATTATTACAAAGATCCACTCCAGAAGAGAGTGTAGTTCAAGACAAGTTGAACACACCAAACAAGAGAAGAGAGGACCCAAACTGAGAAAAGCAAAACAAAATGTGGAGCTAGAAGGCCTCGTCAAGGCCTAGGACTGAAGTTCGAAGCCAATGCATAGACCAATGACAATATCCTTGCACGAAGAGGTTTCTCCAAAGCGGTGCCCCCAAGGAGGATGCGACGTGGATCGCCGCCACCGCTCGTTCGGAACCGAAGCAAGGTTTTCACCTGGAGAATATGGTAGGGAAAGGAAAGGGGTATGCTAAAACAACGCCTCCAAGGAGGGGAATGACGCCAAACGGCGTTGCGGTTGTCAGCCAGCCAAATGGCTCGGCAAGGCTTTCGCCCGCGATTCCCTGTCCAAACCCACACCACCAATCCGCACAAGAAGGATCGTCGTCGGTCAACAACATTGTCCCTTCAGCGATTCGGCCAAGGCCACCGCCCACAGTTGTTCCCGCCGTCGACGGCGCTCCCGCACCCGGACTCCTCCTTCCCCGCCGCCAGACCCCTTCCCCGCCTCCACATACCGCCGCCGCCGCCGACGCACCGTCAGCCGGATGATGGCCTTCAACCATCGCCGCCATAGGTACCATCGTCGACAGCTGCCACCGCCACTGCCACAGCCACAGCCACCACCGTCGCCAGCCGCCACCGTCAGCCACCACCGCCACCGCCACCACCACCGCCACGGACACCCCCGTCCAGCCACCACCGTCCAGCCGCCACCGTCAGCCCAAATAAGTAAAATCAGTCTAATATAACTAATTAATGTGCCAAATTTTTGAACTATGAATAGTCTAATCTGGCTGAAGCTCACTGCATATGCTATAACTAAGCTAGCTATGTATAAACTCCAGTTCACTAGCTGGTCAATCCTGGGACTTCAATGGTTGAGACTAGAAAAAATAATCTGAATTATATCAACATTAGACCATTGTTCATTTATTACTTTAACCATTTTAGATGATTTTGTGTTCAATGTCATAATATGGATTTTCACGAATTAATTTGCGCTGCTCTTCATATTTCAGGTACCTGCTATTATCTATGTCTGCAGCTTGATAGTATCTGTCATATTACAGGTCAGAGCATGTCCTTAGTATTTAATTATCTATTTTGCTACTCAACTTAACATAATTTTTATTGTTTCTAGGAAACTAGATGGTCAAGTTGGCGTTTAAAAAATTACTTTTCTGCTGGGGCCATGCTTTGGATATTGTCTGGTGTTGGAATTGTTGTTCTACCAAGTGGAATGCACAACTTCATGTATGCACTATCAATCACAATAGGAGTTGCCAATGCTCTTATGACAGTAAGTTGTTAAACTTCAGTTTCTGCTTATATTTTAAAGAGTTAATATACTAAAACATTTCTATGGCAAATTTTTAGCCTATAATATAGCTTAGAAGTATTTTCCATCGTGTAGTTTTTAACCTTGCAAAGCTGTATGTCTATCATCTGCATTTGGTTAGCTTATTGGGAAGCATTTCAGCTGCTTGATTTTAAGTAGCGTGTTATCATGTAAATTTGTGATTAAATTTGTCCAAATTTCCATATGCCATACATAATCATGTTATGCCTGGGAGTTCTCTTCTCATCGTTCACATCTTTTCACTGTTTCTCTTGATACTAGGTAACAAGTATCAGCATGGAAGGAATTTTAGTAGGTGAAGATCTAAATGGTTGTGCTTTTGTGTATGGCTCATTAAGTTTTGTTGACAAAGTGTCATGCGGACTAGCTCTGTATATTCTTGAGTCCTATCAAGGTAATGACTGTTACTATTATCATGGCACTGATACATCAAAAAAATTTGGGATGGTACTTTTACAGTATGCTGAGAGTTTGAAACTTTGCATGGCAGGAAGTACCAATACCAGACAGAACCTAGAGTTGGCATTTGGTTATTCAGTTACAAGACTTGGTTTGGGGTTAGTCCCAGCTGCCTGTTCACTGCTCTCAGCCATAATAGCTTATACGATGGACCTACCTGACACTCGGCGAAGACCTTTAGTTGAACCTCTTCTCGCATAACTCTGCTGGTAGCACTTCCATTGCAACTGTATATATGTCCAACGGCCAATGACTCCACTGCTGGAGGCTGGAGCTATTAACAACAGTACAGTTATACGACTCGAAAGGAAAGAAACTCGGACATTGTCAATTCATTTTGACTTGGTCTGAAATTCTGAATTAAGTTATAGATGACACAGTGAAAGGTACTCAGCAACGAGTTGAGTATGTACCAAAAGTAGCATGGGAGTACAATCCTGTGTAAGTTAATCCAAAATCCCCTTACAAATGTAGCCTAGCCGCATTGTTCACAAGAATACATAGCTTGTATGCTAATTTTATATTTATTCGCTTTGGATGTAATTGAATTACCATTTAGCTATTTTTACTAAAATAATGAATTGGTCTTTTTATTGCTTCGCATTTCACTTGGGGTTTTGATTTTGGAAGACTGCAACATCACTATGAGACTTACATAACTATGGTCTTAGACTCTGTAGAATGTAGATACGAATAGAATCCAATTAATTTTTTTCTTGTGGTAAATAGCACCTGAAACAGCTTTGAGGTGCTATTGCTGGCTGTTTGAAGATTACCTGTATCTCAACAGAAAGTCAGTTTGCACAGGAATACTGGGAATGTACATACTTTATGCAACTGGTTGAACGCAATACAACTGAAGCATGTCAAAATTTAAGAAAAGACAAAAGGATGGAGAAAGCCGTTTCATTCTGAACAATGGAGAGCCCGTTTCGTCCTGAATAATGGAGCAGAAGTTGCTATTCACAAGCTTATTTCTATCTATCCCAGGAGGAAACGGAAAATGACAGAAGTTTTGCTTCATGTGGCCTAGTCACCATGATATAATCGAAATTGTTGGAGTTTTTTAGAGCTATCTAAATGTTTATGATCTGCCAAGCATGGCCTGGTTTTCTGTTGCCCTGTTCCCTGCCAAAGTGTGGTAGTTAGTTCCAACTGAATTTGTTTCACAGCCCAGAGCGTTCACCGTTGCTTCCTCCTCCAATTCATCCAGCAAGTATATTAACAGCACAGAGCAAATAAAATAATTTATGGATAGCTTTTATATCTATGTCATTAGTGGCTTAAAAGCCATGTTCGAAAATAGTCTATGATGAAAAAACCTAAATTAATTTAAAAATCAAGTTATAAAATTCAAATTTTGCCTGCAGTTGACAAGACAACAAACATGCAATAAATACTTAGAAGTTTAACTTCCACAATCTCAATTTATGAATGCTTAACTTCAAATTTTCTGGGTGTTTAACTTCAAAAGTTTATTTTAGGTTGTTTCAGAAGAATGACAGTTGAACATTAGGTCCCTTAATTTTGTCTGAAAAACCTTCAAACAATATAGATCTGATTAGTTTCTCTCATGAAGTAGATACTTCAACGCTAGGTGCCTTTTAATTTGTCTCAGCTCTCACTTAGATGATTAAATGCTCTAATTAAAAATCATTTAACCCCTTGATAATAGTATATCTCAGTTGTTTCACATGCATATGCATGGAGAAGTATTGGTGACATACTGACATGCAGTTTCAGTGAAACAAACACACTATTTTTCAATTTTCAAGTGTCCTCTTTTCCCTTTTTCTGAGGGATGTGTGACAGTGATTAGTGACAGTTTGGCACTTGGCAAGAAGCCCTAAATGATTTTCATCCCGCCTCTATAAAAGCCATTACTACGCATGCATTCCTTCACCACAAGCTCGCTCACACACCCATCAACAATGGCGTCCACGACCTCCAAACCCTTGCAGTGCTTGGCATTGTTCCTCCTCCTCGCGCAGCTCGCCCACTCAGCCTTCATCCCCAAGCCCAAGAACCGCACCGAGCACAAGCCTGATCAGCTGTCGAACACCTACATCGTCCATGCCAACCACCTCCTCAAGCCGTCCCGCTTCGCCACCCTCGAGCACTGGTACATCTCCATGGTGGCCACGCACTCCCCTCGCGCCGCCACCAACGCCACCGCCGCCGCCGCCGCGGTGGCCGGCCGCATCCTGTACACCTACGACACCGTCATGCACGGCTTCGCCGTGCGCCTCGCCGCCGACGAGGCCCGGAGCTTGTCCCGCGGCGCCCCCGGCGTGACCGCGGTGCACCAGGCCAGGATGTACTACCCGCAGACCACGAGGTCGCCGGGGTTCATCGGCCTCGACCCGGAGTACGGCCTGTGGCGCGACACGGAGTTCGGCGACGGCGTCATCATCGGCGTCATCGACTCCGGCATCTGGCCGGAGAACCCGAGCTTCAACGACAGCGGGCTCGCCGCCGTCCGCCGCAGCTGGAAGGGCGGGTGCGTGGGTCTCGGCGCCAGGCTGTGCAACAACAAGCTGGTCGGCGCCAAGGACTTCTCCGCCGCCGAGTACGGCGGCGCCTCCTCCCCGAGGGACGACGTAGGGCACGGCACGCACGTGGCGTCGACGGCCGCCGGCTCCGAGGTCCACGGCGCCGGCCTCTTCATGTTCGCGCGGGGGACGGCGAGGGGGGTGGCGCCCAAGGCGAGGATCGCCATGTACAAGTGCGGCGGCAACTGGGGCTGCAGCGACGCCGCCATCATCGCCGGGATCGACGCCGCGGTGAAGGACGGCGTGGACATCATCTCCATCTCCCTCGGCGGTTTCCCGATCCCGTTCTACGAGGACAGCCTCGCGATCGCCACGTTCGGCGCCCAGCGGGAGGGCGTGTTCGTCGCCCTCGCCGGCGGCAACAGCGGCCCTCGGCCGTACACCGTGACCAACGTGGCGCCGTGGATGACCACCGTCGGCGCCGGCGCCGTGGACCGGCTGTTCCCGGCTAACCTCACGCTCGGCAACGGTGAGGTGCTCGTCGGCCAGTCCCTGTACACCAAGATGGCCACGGGCACCACCATGGCGCCGCTGGTGTTGCTGGACTCCTGTGACGAGTGGAGTCTCTCGCCCGACGTCGTCATGGGCAAGATCGTCGTGTGCCTCGCCGGCGTCTACGAGGGCATGCTGCTGCAGAACGCCGGTGGCGCCGGGCTAGTCTCCATGCAAGGTGAGGAATGGCACGGCGACGGAGTGGTAGCCGACGCCTTCACCCTCCCGGCTCTCACTCTCAGCTACTCCAAGGCCGAGAAGCTCATGGACTACTTCGAGTCGGCGGCGAGCCCGGTGGCGTCGTTCAGCTTCGCCTGCGAGACGGTCACCGGCGAGAACCGTGCGCCGACGGCGGTGGGCTTCTCGTCGAGGGGCCCCAACCGCGTCGTCCCCGAGCTCCTCAAGCCCGACGTTCTCGCGCCGGGGCTGAACATCCTCGCGGCCTGGCCGCGCGACATCCCGGTGTCGATGTTGAACATGGACACGAGGAGATCCGAATTCAACATCCTCTCGGGGACATCCATGGCGTGCCCGCACGCCGCCGGCGTCGCGGCGCTGATCAAGAAGAGGCACGGCGACTGGACGCCGGCCATGATACGCTCCGCGATGATGACGACCGCGGCGACGCTCGACAACACCGGCCGCGACATCACCGACGAGGGCGTCCAGGAGGCCGCCAACGCCACCTTCACGAGCGCGACGCCGCTGGCGGCCGGCGCGGGGCACGTCCGCCCGCAGCTCGCCGTGGACCCGGGGCTCGTCTACGACGCCGGCGTGGAGGACTACGTCGACTTCCTCTGCAGCCTCAACTACACCGTCGAGCAGCTGCGGGTGTTCGTCCCGGACACGGCCGGGTGCGCGCCGGCGCTCCCCGGCGGCGGCCCGGCCAACCTCAACTACCCGTCGTTCGTCGTCGCGTTCAACGGCAGCACACGCGTCCGCACGCTAACGCGGACGGTGACCAAGGTGTACGAGAAGCCGGAGACGTACAGCGTGGCCGTGTCGGCGCCGGCCGGCGTGAAGGTGACCGTGAGGCCGGCGACGCTGGAGTTCAAGGAGAAGAACGAGGAGAAGAGCTACACGGTGGAGTTCACGAGCGTGGCGGGAGGACACGTCAACCAGAGCTGGGATTTCGGGCACATCTCGTGGGAGAATCGGAAGCATCAGGTCAGGAGCCCTGTGGTGTTCATGTGGAACTAACTGATGAAATGTTGATGGGTTGATCTGTCGTGAGAGATGAAGAATAATATACTTGTGGGAGATGAATTAATGAATTATCAATGGGAATTCTAAATGTTGGCAGCTAACTTCTGTTCACCACTCTTTTTTTTAAAAAAAAATGTTTTTTTTGCGGGGTTAAAAAAAATGTTTTTCTTACATTCAAACTGATTCACTATTCTGAAACAAATAAGAACCCGTTAATCAGGCCATCGGGCACGGCGGATTTGACGTTTATGGTTTTCCACTGAATTCAGTAGTTTCATTCATGTTGTTCTACCATATGTTTTAAAGATTTTAGGTGCACTCTGCACTTAACAAACATAACGTGGTACAGTACGATTTTTGAATTCGCAGAAAAATCTCTTTTTACAAAATATTCACTTATCCATGACACACCATTAATCAGCGCTAACAGTACAAAGTGCGGTGCGGCATTCAGTTTGCTTCCTCCACAGGCCACAGCCCGTGAGAAGTCTTCAGAACGCGTGTGCTGGGCCTCGGCCTCGCCGTGTGGCCCGAAGGCCCGCAGGCCGCAGCTGAACGGTGGCCGCTCAATCGTTTCGGCCCAAACCGAAGCAGCGCTCGGGTTGGTGCGGTCTCGCCTGCGGATTCTCCGATTCTGTTCTTCCCTGCAACCAGAAGTGCAAAACCAAATCAGAATTTAACAGACAACCTACACGAAATAGATAGAGCGCCATGTTCTTGAGGGATATGAAGTTACCTAAGATGGGATAAACCGTATGAGGTAACACAAAAAATTTGACCACGCAGCAAACAAAGAATGCACCATGTGTTGTCAATGAAGACACCGAGTTTTTCTGGGCAGTAGTTAATGGTATTCCCGTTTTTACAGCTAAGTGACGCCTAAATTACTGTCTGCCCTGGCAAGAGTGGATGGCAAACCTTGTGGTTGACTCCGCAACCTATGTCCTTCTCACACGTCTATGTCAGAGCTTGGATAATCAACTCTTATCACCTGCAGATAATCATGGAAAGAGAAACCAATCGAGGAGACAAGCTGACATTTGCATACTAGCATCAGGCATTACCTTGTAAAAGCAAATCAAGAACAGAACAGAACAGAAGAAACCGAAGAATCATCGAGGTACACATCCATTCAGGGTCAGTCAGTCCTATGTTCAGGGGAGATGACACCTGCATCAAACGGACCATCAATTCATCATGGCACAAGACCAAGAACGAATTCCGGCGATGTCGGTGTCATCTCTCCTGATCACAGGGCCCAAACCCCCCACAAGAACGCACATCCTCCCTCATCTCTGCAGACTGCAGATATACATGGCGCACTCTATGTCTCTATCTACTATGTTCTTCCTGCTCTCTGAAGATACTAGTGCTATGTACTACTATGTAGTAGTAGTATCTTCTTCTGTGCTTCTGCAATCTGCAGTCACATACATGCCTTTATATAGAGGATGGAGAGGAGGAAGGGGCGGCCATTTCTACTGATGTGATGATGGATGGATGATGCGTATTCACACCGGATGGCAAAGTAGCGTCCAGCCATGACAACCTGGTATGCAATGATCTGACACTGACAGGCTTTGACCGGCCAAAGCTCATGCATTCACTCTGAACCCTTAAACTGCAGGTCAATGCCTGTCAGTTAACCGAGACTACGATGTTAGATAAAACATTTAGTACATGGATAATACAACAGGGTTGTTCTTATTCCAAAAAATAAATGCAACAGGGTTGTGAACACGATAATTTTCTGCGCTCTGGATTCTGCTCTTGTTTGTGTCCATTTTGGCTTTGGGATTCCTCAAGTTTTGATGCTTCGTCTTTTTTTTTGCCTTAGATTCTTTTGTTAATTGTTGATCGCTCTGTGTCCAGTTCATTGCATAGAGCAAGGCTCTCCGCTGGGTTGTGAGTTGTGACAAATCAGCAGTCCATGGTCAACAACGCTGTGCCTATCTACCTGTCAGACGAAACTGTTTTTGTTTCATCTCATAATCTTTGATTTCCCTACATGATACTGAAACATGGCTGAAAAGGTAGTAATAAAAGTAAAATTTTGTGGTCCGGCGAGAAAATAAGTGTTTTTTTAGTGCTGTCATATAGGTTTGATCGACCTGTTCCTCTCAAATGGTTTGAACACTATCAAAAAATGTTTTAGAGTTTCAACAACGAGGTGAAGAGCCATTCTGGTGTTCTACGCCTTGGTCTTTTCTTACACGATTATTCTGCGTGAGGATTAACGAAGGATGGAAAATAATTGTTGCTCCTCGTGCACCATGACTCGACTATCTTTTCAAGCTTTTGTTCTGCTTTGATTCCCCTTTTCCTACCTTTTCTCTTCCCTAGTAGCTTTTGATTGTTCATTTGTCTGGTCTATCAGAAAAATCTCTACTGTTACTATATCGTCTCAATTAAGGGCCTCTCAATTAATAATGCAGCCCGTACCTCACATTCATGAACTTGACCACTCCAAAGACTTAGTAATGCTAGTTTGGTTAGGAGGACAGAAATGAATGATATTGCTGTTGGATATGGCTGGATTTCACAATCATGTATGTAATCTTCAGGCAATAATGTAATGTTTATGCTGTTTTCTTTGAGTTAGTCTTGCCATATTGAAAATGGTTTTATTCAGAAGTATTTTTATTCACAATTAGTACTTACTGGTGGTTGGGGGTATGCATGCACAGGGCAGGATTTAGGAGGTTGATTGGTACCATTTCTACTCGATTGAGAAGAAAATGATTACTAGATGCTTGCATATCATTGGTGACAGTGAGGATCACCACGTGATGGATTGAACCGGGTAATGTGATGTCATGAGGCAAATGTCAGCATGCAAGTCTGAATCTTCAACGTTGTTTGGTCACATCCAAAGGGCGCGGAGCTAGAACGAAATAGAGGATAGTGCCTCTTATTTAATTTACTCTACTTTAGATCAAGTTTAAGTTGATGCGTGTATCTAAGTTTATATTGAGGGGGTGCACACATGGTGAAAATCGGTGAGTTATAACTAAAAAATTTTCTTAACCGGGTTCCTGGGTGCCCCCCCTTCCATACTCTACCTCCGCCCCTGCATCCGGTTCTAAATTGCTATATTCTGAGACGGAGGGAATAGATAAAATAAATGACTTATATGCCCCTTAATTAAATAAGGGATGTTAGTGTTGGTTGGTTGGGGGTAAATGAAGAGAAATTTAAATAAGAAGTGATTGATAGGATATGTAGTACATTAGAAGTGACTTATTTTGACAAAAAACTAGAGTGTTAAAAATGCACTTATATAGGGATAGAGGCAAGAACGGCAATTGCATCGTCAGTTCCATCTTTTCTATCAGCCGTATCCAAAATTTAAATTTTAAAAGTTAATTTTAAAGTTGATTTTGATGTTTTCTGTAAAATCAAAGGTGTTTTTGATTATTATTCTGTGATGAACAATTGGGCATTGGAGATTATTGGTTTTGTCATTTGAAATTTATTCACGAAGTGGTTTTGGAGATGATTGAATTCACAGGTGATCGCAGGATTCATTATTTCATGTGACTGGTCAGACCGAGCTCTGGTAGCCGGTCAGACCGGCATGTAATGCGCGGTCAGACTGGCGCAGCCCGCGGTCTGACCGGCCGACACTGTGTCGGTTTCGGTTTCGGGTTGTTTATTTGGATATCCGAGTTTATTTCATGATTATGACTTCTAGATGGATACTATACGTATGTAATACTATTGTTTGCTGCTAATGAGTCAAGTTGGAGATAGCTTGGTCTCGGAATATGGTTTCTTTGTTTGTTCCATGTGTAGGTGACTCGATGTCTCGGGAGAGTATTTGCGGTGATGGACCGGGAGTCGGCTTGGGGATAAGACGACGTCCGTGGTGGTCAGAGATCATGCGAGATACTTAGGCTAGAGTTGATGCACGTGGTTGATGGAGATTCCATATGGCATACGATGGAGTTATTGTGTGCGTATGGGATGCGGAGTCGAATTTGGAAGGAGTCCAAATTTGGTACGATTGATTATGTAAAGTTTCTTTCTTGTACTAGAGGGTTTCCTAAGGTGTTTAGGACTCTTAGTATGAGTTTGGTTCGTGGCTTTAGGCTGCCTACCTCATGTATAAATAGAGGGGGAGCGTGAGGCTTCCCGGTATCGCTTTTGAGAGCAATTGAGTTGAGTTTTGAGTTAGGGTTTCGAGTTTAGTCGAAATTTTTGTAAGGAGTGCTGTTGGTGCACTTTGTAAACACAGAGAGAATCAATAAAGTCATCATCTACTTTAAGAGTTCTTCGATTTGTGTTTACTGGGTTTCGGCGGTCAGACCAGCGGGAGCACGGCGGTCAGACCGGCGGCGGCGACAGCGAGCATCAGCTGATCTCGGCGGTCGGACCGGAGATATAACCGCGGTCAGACCGACGGCAACCAGGCGGTCAGACCGGCAGGACAACTTCGGTCAGACCGCGATCCGTCGATTTCAAGGGTAACTTTTATTTCCGCTAAAAGTTTTCGGTTTTTGGGTATACCAATCATTCACCCCCCCTCTGGTTGGCTTAGTTCTTGTGATTCGATCCTACATTTTCTATTTTATTTTTCAGCATTGGCAATTGTATTGCTAAAACACACGTATAAAAGTTTCTACAGCATCTTAAGTCTGAGCCATGCCCAATATAGAAGTTCATGCACCTCAAGGAAGAGAAAAGGAGTACTATGTGGATGCAGCCCTTCATCCTTTTCATACTTCTAGAAAACGTGCTAAGAGAAAAGTCTGTGCTTTTCAGAATGGACAAAAGACTTAACAGTTTTCACCTTTTGTCTAGTTATTTCAGACAATCTATATACTACAGCTGAAAAATATCATTTTTGGAGTTGTTCCTCGATACCTGTATTAGTTCTTGTCAAGAATTCCTCAAGTTTTCCACTCTATTGAGTATTGACTGCTGGGATGGGGCATTATTGCTGGAGCATCTTTTCTTGTGGCTCCTTTGCTTCTTTAGACTGGGTTTCAGACTTTGACTTGTCTTCTTTTCTGAGACAGTTGGAACTTGGAAGCATTGCTGCCTAGATATCACTGTCATGCAATAGATCCAAGCATAAACATTTATCCACTCCACTGTTAGACCAGTCAGAAACACAGTCAATCCCATAAATTCTGTCAATCTAGATGCCAAATACCACATCTGAAATGGTCTTGATCATAAACTATATAGAAAAGATCAACGGACAGAGTGGCACTTGCAAATCTTATCATGATCTGAACAAAATCTCTACAATTAGAATTTATTAAGGAAAGGGCATTGTGTAGGTGTAAGAAATTCCTGCCTTGGATTCGCCAAATCTGCACGAACAGCAAACTGATCTGTTCAGTCATATCATGATTATACTTGCATGTATCACAATCAGTACAAGAAAAACTAGAATACGTTTGGTTGGATATTATTTCGATTGTGTGTTGCTTGCAAAAGGTATACCATATGCTCTTTATGCTGAACTCTTAGTTAACATCAGGAAAATATAATACTGCCGAGCCACTAGGCACTAGTTATCAGCATCAGCCAATGGCAGAATTTCTTGAATAAACCTGAAGTATCATTTTTGTTTTGGTTGTACTAAAACAAATGTGAACCTCAACCACGTGACTAAAATTTGACCAAGACTAGTAGTATGCTGGCCATTTACTGACAGCAGTAGGAACACATCAGAAGACTAGCTTGTGGCATATGGCACTTGTAGAACTTAAAATAACATGTACACTGCACAGATGGCATTAGTATTGGTACAAGTTTCAAGTCACACTTCAGGTTCAGAGTGGTTATATGCTCAAGTCTCCAACCTAGGAGTATATAATTGGACATGCAATAATTTTCTTGCTTTCACTTTGGTGTTCAACTGACGCATTATGGAAGTTTTAGCTACAAAAGGCTAAGCAGGACGTTTGGGCTGATACCCTGAAACAGGGATTGGTATTGCTGTTTCGCAAGTGACGGTTCACACCCTTATCCTGTGGTGCATCCTGCTGTTGTTGTACGGTGGTGCCGGATCGGGGATGTGATAACCACTCTTTCTCTCACATTACTGGACCTATTGTTTAGCTATTACATGGCCCATTCCAGCCCATGATACTTGGAATTAACAGCCCGAGCTCCCCTCGGCCTTCCCTTCCACTTCCAGGCTTCCAGCCCAGCACCTGCGTGTGCTTCTTCATGTTGCTGTATCTCGTCTTGCAGCTGCTTCTTCATGGCGATGACAGAGAATCGCTGCGAACAAACGAATGAATTCATCCACAGCTGAAGCATGAGACGTACCTGCACAGATAGTCAACAATGCCAGCCGGGTTGGCCCAATCAATGGAGCGCTCAGGCATACGACCTCAGGTGAGCCTCTTCTTGCTCAGGCATCCCCTGCAGATAGATGGTGTCAGCGCGAATGGCGGGGAACACCTCGG